TTCTTTCCTCTCGTGATATTTTGACAAGACTCGACGCAAACAAACACGCCTAACCTTTCACTGTCTGACATTTCGGACTGTTTGAAGGTTCCACTGTTGACTTCAGACACAACTGTTAGTTTATGCATGTAGTTTTGTTAATTGCATTGAGAGAGAAGCGAATGTGTTTTCTTTTTTTCATTTTTTTGAAGATGTATTTTTCACTGTGGTGTAACGTTAAACTTAGTACATTTTGGACTAAGGTTCTTGCTGTTTATTTCAGACACAACTGTTAGTTCATAGTTTTGTTGATTGCTCTGAAGCATATCTTCAATGGTGCCGCCATTGTGTTTTCTTTTTTATTCGTAATGTATTTTTTGCTGTGATGTAAACATATTTTCTCGATGGATGCACTTACAGTTACTCACTATCCGGTTTATCAAGGAACCAGGACAATTTTTATGGTGTTTCATATACAATGCATCAAAGATGTTTTTCTGTAATTGTTTTTAATGTATTTTTGCTGTCATCTAAACATATTTTCTCAACCAACGCACTCACTCTTACTCACTATCCGGTTTATCAAGGAACCAGGTACAATTTTTAGTGTGTTTTATATACAATTCATCAAAGGTTTTTTAAATGTATTTTGGCTGTCATCTGAACATATTTTCTCGAGTGATGCACTCACTATCTGGTTTATCAAGGAACCAGGTACAATTGTTGCATTTTATATACAGTACATCAAAGATATATTTTTCTGTAATTGTTTTTAATGTATTTTTGCTGTCGTCTAAACATATTTTCTTGACGGATGCACTTACTTTTACTCACTATCCGGTTTATGAAGGCACATGGTAACATTTTTAATGTGTTTCATGTACAATGCATCAAAGATACATTTTTGTTGTTGTGTTTTTTTAATGTATTTTGGCTGTCATCTAAACATATTTTCTCAACTGATGCGCTCACTATCCGGTTCTTCGAGGCACCTCATAATATTTTTATTGTATTTCAATACACAATGCATCAAAGCTATATTTTCAAAATTTAATGTACTAGGTAATCATATAATATTCTTTTTTTGCTCATAACAGTAACAACTTTGCAAATGTGTTTACAACTGATTTTAAATCAGCAATAGCTTTTATTGTGTTTAATATACAATTCATCAAAGTAATTTTTTGAAAACTTAATGTTGGCAATCATATAATATCCTCAATTTAACTGTAACAGTAACAACTTTGCAAAAGTATTCACAACTAATGTTGAATCAGCATAGTTTTTAATGTGTTTCATATACAATTCATCAAAGGGATGTTTTTAAATGCTTGGTGTTGGCAATCAAAGAATATCCTGATTTTAAAAACTGATTTTGATCAACACAAAAGACCACACATGCATGTATCCTGCTTGGCAAGGGTACAAGCTAGGTACCAGGTAGTCAGGACGCTACTGTGTGTTTTTGTCTGTATGATGCTTTTGTGTTGTTTCCCTATAAAGTTTTACCTGTTGCCCCCCTGATATCGGCCAGTATTATAGCCAGCAGGCAGCGCATAACTGTAAACACAGGAGCGGAAATGCCTGTCCTACACCAGACACCAGGGAGATGTTATGTAGCTAGCTTTATCACACCGAATGACTTGTTACACCCAATCTTTGCATATTATAATTGCAGGAGATTATTAGAGCTTTCTTTAAGTGATGATGCCCCAACTGTGCTTGGTGACAACAAGGAGGTTTAAAACCTTGTATTTAACCTTCTTGGTGGCAACGAGTTCCACTCTACGATACAAATGTTGTTCTTGGAAAATACAATTTTTTTAACATCTCAATTCTTGCTTGATAACTCAGACATTTAAAGGTGTGACTGTTTCTTGTTCTATAGACTGTTGCGATGAGCTGTAGCTGACTTGTTATGTAGGTAGAAATGCAGTGATCCTGCTACAGAATGTTAAGTACGTGTACTAAAACACCAACTGCCCTTGGAGGGAACTCTCCCAACAGTTAGAGAGTCACTTAAAATAAATTGGGACTGGTATGTGGTGGGGATATGTTCCTTGGCAAGTTCACACCTCGGATTAACTAAACACAGGTTAATTCTAGGAGAAATACTCGGGAATGTGACATGGAAATTATGTTGTGTCACTCACTTTTTTCTTTGAATTCATTCTACTGTACTGTTCAATGCTGAAACAACCCTTCATGACACAAAATGACTCTACAAGACAGTAAAGTACAATTAAATGATCAGGGTCCTTTCTTGACAAAGTCCTATCATGTACTCCTACATGTATCTCTAACGCTTCAAGGAAGGAATCAATGACATATAGTTTGGTGAGGGTATACATTGTACATTGTAAATAATTTCATACTGAACTCTGGTACAATCTATTATTGGCATATCATCGCATCCATTTCAAAAGCTAATGTTTCGATGAGAAAAATGTAAAAGTCCCACTTCTGTAGCACCCATTAGCATTGCTATAACAATAGTTCGTTGAGTGATGTACGTGATTCATCTATTCTGTGATAGTGTGGTTAGAAAGAATCTAATTCAGTTATGCCAGGCAACGAAGCGTAAAAACCCAGGCTGAAGTGACGACGGAATTATCACCCCAAGAAGCGCCAAATTCTACAGTTCCCACAAAAATTCACACAAAAGCACGTATTGGCATTGCTATGACTGTCACAGTAGTAACGCTAAGTGATCTATATGATTCATCTATTTTGTTATAGTGTGGTTAGATTCTTAGAAAGAAAGACAACAAAGCGTGAAACCCAGGTCGTAGTGACGACAGAATTATCGTGCCGAATTCTATAGTTCCGTGCCAACCCGGCCGTCCAGTCCCGAGGATTTCTAAAGGCGATGTTTTGGTTTTGCCGGTCGTTTCACGTCTGAAGAGACGACCTCGCGGTGCCGCCGCATTCCGCGCACGTTCCCGCCGACCCGCGTCCGCGCCCCGCATTCCTGACCGTTTCTCCGACAATTAACAGTGTTTGGTTAATTGGGGGTGCGAGCTCGCCATACAGTCTTCAATACTTGTCAACCTTCTTCTTTTCCTGACCTACTTCCTCAATGAAGAATTGTACCGGTAGTTACAAAAAGACAAGGAAATAGGAAAAAAAGAGAATTTCTCTCGCAATTAACGTGTTTGGTTAATTGGGGGTGTGAGCTTGCTGGACAGTCTTCATCACAAAGTCTTTCTTCTTCTTTTTAACTCAGACTGAGGTGTGACCTAGAGAGTTAGAAGGTAGAAAAGATGTAGGTTTTTCAGCAGTTAAAAGATGTACCGGTATCAATAATCTTATCAACATTACTGTTAATAGTGAGAAAACTTGATAGTTGATAAGTGATATTAATACCAAAACATCCTTAGACTTATTCTTGCTGCTAATGCAGAAACTGACAACTTAATTTGTGGACAGGTGTAACTGAAGTACAAAATGTAGTTACTGTTAGTAGTACACGTACATGTGTGTTGTTATGTGAAAGTGACAGAAATTGACAAACATGTACACTGTACAAGATACTGACAGAAGTTAACATATGTGTAGTCGAGACCTACATGTTGTAAATCAAACATGACATCCCAGCTAGATCCTACACTGTCCCCCCATCAGTTAATCCCGACTGCTGAGGTCCAGTTAAAGCTTAGTACATTGACATATAAATATAGTACAATATGCCTAATTCAATTTGATGAATGATATACAAAAACAGCCTTACAACAATGTATTCTTGCAAAAACTTCTTCCAACATTGCTGTGACTAGTGTTACACGAAGTTGACAGAAGTTGACAATTTGTGTAGTTGAAACCTACATTATTTTGTAAACCAAACATGTCTTTGACATCTTAGCTACATGTAGATTCTACACTCAGTCTCCCTCATCAGTTAATCCAGCCTGCTGAGGTCCAGTTGATGTCAGAAAAAAACTACTAATTCTATTTGGTGAATGATAATAGATAGAAGATCCTATTTCAGTCAAAAACTGACATTATGCAGTTGAGACCCACATGTTGTAAAACAAACATGACATGTTAGCTAGATCCTACACACTAGCTGTCCCTCTCAAAAGACATCAGTTAATCCTGACTGCTGAGGTCCAGTTGTCGTAGCCTCCAGCAGCTGGTAGCCTCCTGCCCTTATAAGGGCCCGGGTCTGACTCCTGAGGTTACACATGACGTCAACAAACGCCTCACGAGGATCGTAGACGCCGACTTTAATTCTGCCCCAGAAGCTGGGCGCTAAAACGGGAGGGTTTTGGGGACATCTGTTCCGCCGAAGTCTTAATTGGGGCCACACCGATTTAAACTGTCGGTTTGCAGACATTTGTGTGGAAAATTTGAGCAAGATACATTGTAGGAGGAAAAGAGTAGAGGCCCGGTGTGAGTGGTTAAAACCTTACGTCGGCTTTAATTCTGCCCCAGAAGCTGGGCGCTAAAACGGGAGGGTTTTGGGGACATCTGTTCCGTAGAAGTTTTAATTAGGGCCACACCGATTTAAACTGATTGTTCTCGGACACTTGTATGGAAAATTTTAGCAAGAGGACAACAGGGTGAAAACCTTGTTCTCTGTGTTTTTGTTTTATTTTACTAAAGGATCATAGACGTCGGTTTTAATTCTCCGCCAGAAGCGCCACGCTAGAATGGGAGGGTTGGGGGACATCTGTTCTGCGGAAGTCTTAATTGGGGCCACACCGATTTAAACTGTCAGTTTACAGACATTTGTGTGGAAATTTTAGCAAGGGGGAAAGAGTAGGGGTTCTTCCCGGTGTGAGTGGTTCAAAACTTACAGTCCGGTCTTACGCAGCTTGTACTTACATGTATAAAACTGGTGCTACATCTGCTTCAGGTCATTGACCTTATTTGTTTGGAGAAGAAGAGGAAGAGGAAACAGAGCAAAAACAATATGTTTTCCTTCTACAAAGGGAAACAAAATTATGTAGTATATATTATAGAGAGGCTGGCACCATACATTCAAACTGAAATGTTTATTTTGTTTTCCCCCTTTTTAGAAGATGAGGGGAGCAAGTCCAGCGTTGCCCACGGAGGAGTCCTGGAGACGGTAACCAGGGGCAACAGCGGAATCAACTACCTGCAGATGGGGGGGGATGGGGAGGAGGGAGGAGGGACTGGTCCAGCACGCAGGCTGAACTATCTGTCCATGGGGGCAGGGCTACAGGAGGCCGCACGGGTAAGTCAGGTGTGTGTAGATGGGGATGGTGAGGAGGTAGGATGTCTAGCCTCCATATAGCATGCCAAAAACTGCGGGTTTTGTGGGTCTTCAGGGTCTTTGGGATCTTTTATGTGCTATATTTTGATTGCATATAGACAACATAGCCGGCCTGGTTGAATTACCCCCGTTTTTAGAACTGGGCTAATCAGAAAACAGCCGAAGACCACCAAACCCCCAGTTCTATAAGCCTGCTACGGAGGCTAATCAGAAAACAGCCGAAGACCACCAAACCCCCAGTTCTATAAGCCTGCTATGGAGACTAGAGAAGATAGTAGTCCAGGGAAGGTCCTAAACTACCTGCACAAGTGTCACTGGAAATAATTTATGAACATTTCATGACTAAAATGTTGAAACAAACTAAGTGTTATTGTTCCAGTCTTTTTTACTGTACACATTCTGTTTTTTCATCATCCAATCCATACTAACAATAAGTACCATCATGATTTTTAAATGTGTTTGTCTAGTTGTATGTTGATATTTGGTGTTTTGCCTTGCTAACAGACATGCCCCCATCTTAAAAACATACAGGAGGACACCTCTGAAGAACCTTCTACAAAAAGAAGCAGCTATTTGGACATGGCAACAGTACCAGCTGATGATGATGTAATGTTGTCACTTCATTTGTGTGTTTGTTTGTGTGTGTGTCTGGGTTTCCAATTTTGTGTAAAACTAAAAGAAAGTATTCTCCTTAAAACTAATAAGCTAAAAAAACACTCCTTTTAATTTTTATCTGAAGAATTGACAGTAAAAGTCAAAAGTAATAATGATATTTACAGTTGAAAAGATTTAGTAAGATATAATTCATGCTCGATTCATCTCTGATTTAAAACTTGATTTGAAAATATTTGAAAAATCACAAAAGATCAGAATCTGAGATATACTTTTTACATTTTGTCATTATTTACTGAAGGAACCCATGTCTTTGTCTTCCACATTGAATCATTTTGTATTACCTGTTAACTTCTCGTGTAAAAAGTCCATTTATCATGTAAACTAACACAATCATATTGTAAACACTTGTATTTGTTTGTTTGTTTGTTTGTTTGTTTGTTTGTTTGTTTGTTGTAACATCCGTGTCCATAATATCACCAGGGTCCATAATATCGCCACCTTGAGAAACAGTGTGCTTACTGCAACATACTTTTGGTAAGCACTCCTGCACACCTCAAATGTACATACCTAGGGTATGTTGCAGTAAAAATATCTTTAAGCACACTATTTCTCAAGGTGGCGATATTATGGACTATGGTGATATCATGGACACAGGTATTATCCATATCCATTTGTCTCCCATATCATCATGTATGTTGCTAACACGCTGACATGTGTACTTACACAGGAGCCCAGTACTGAAGACCCGGGAACAAAACGCACCAGCTACATGGACATGGCTGACTTACAAAATGTCGCTGAGTCTGAGTCAGCCGAAACAGAGTCAGATGATGTAAATTGTTTGGTTATTTGTCTGTTGTTGAGACTCTGGTGCGGTGGTTTGGTCTTTCCTCTCTTTACAGCAGATGTCTGCAAAATTCTTTTCACCCTTCTTTCTTTTGCAGTTATATATTAGATTGCAACTCACTCAGTTGTAGTCATTCTACCTGTAGGACTCTTTCACAATTTCAGTCAAGAAGGCTCCTATATATAGTAATCTTCTATAGGGAAACCCAATATTTTTAACATTCTTTTATATCTCATTGTAATATTTTCTAATGTTATGTTAGCATATTAATTTTATTCATTAATATATTTGTAAAACAGTTTGCTGTGCATTGCTTTTAAATCCCTTGTTTAAATTCTCTCATAGCATACTTACCAGGACTTGATGAATTGAAACTTCATAGCCATTGTATATACTTTATATAAATCGTCTGAATTAATGAAAACTTATTCTTATTTCTTAATCATTTTTACCAGGCCCGTCCTTCGAGAACGAGGCTGAGTTACGTGGAAATGGCGCCGATGACGGACGATTCCGACGCGGACGATCTTGACGCGATACTGGAGGACGACCGAGCGAGCTTCGTCCGAGGTTCCCTGGCGAGAACCAGCTCCCATCTCTCTGGGATATCAGGTATCGGTTTCATTTTATTTCATCTTACACACTGTGTCGCTAGTTAAGATATATTAAACTTAAAATATGGTACATCAAGAAGTCACTACACATGTAGTTTAGATATACAGTAGCAGCAACACCGAGAGAACTTAAGTAATATATGTGGCATAGTGTGTAGCATGAAATAAAACGTATGTTACAATAAGTTCTCTCTGTGTTTCTGCTGTTTCTAAACTAGCGACTTCTTGATTTACCATATTTTGTGTTTAATACCTCTACCTGTTTTGTTATTACCAGTACTTTGAGTTATTATGATTATGTTATGACGTCTTACATACTTACAAATTCTGTACAACCATGCTTGAGGTGTCTATTAAGCCAATTGACAAGAAGTGTTAGTACTATAAGATTAGTGTAGTAGTATATTGATCACTGACAGACAGTAGTTGTACATGTATGTTCTCTGTTGCTTTACTTCACTTTCTTTGACACTGTACAAGCAGTTAGCCTTTGAGCATGATTTTGGAAATAAAGATCTTATCACTATGATAAAATCTCTTCCATTCATTCCTTGCCCAGGTGGATATTTCTCGAGGAACGATTCCCAGCGTCGTTCGGGAAAGTCTCCGCGCAGTTCCAACCGTAGCCAGAAGAGGCGAACACCGCAGACCAGCCCTTCTGCGGCACGGCGAGGCGAAACGGTCAGCTACGCAAACGTGAGGCTACCAGAGTCATCCACTAGGGGGGAGGGGGCTACGGGGGGTGCGCACCCCCCTCCCCCTCCTCATAACTACACCAATGTTATGCCTGCTGCATATGTGTAACTGGAGCTGCCAAATCGAAAGATGAAGAGATGCTACACAGAAATGTCCTTCATTAGGGCACACTAATTTATTTCCTTGGTTCTGTGATGTTTTTAAGTAAAAATTCAGCAAGCAATCAAGGGGAAAACAGAAGCTGGGAGGAAAATTTGTATCTTCCTACATTGTATGCTCACTCTTTGAAACCAAGGAGGTTAAAAATCATTGAATTTAAAGCTCCTTGCTAAAACTGTATGTACCAAGCTACGGACTTTCCCCTTAGACTCTGTTTTCAAGTTAATACTTCATTTTAGCATTATTTTTTACAATCCAAGAACCAATGAATAGAATTGGTGTGGCCTAAAGTTGTTAAGCATATCAATCTTTATGTGCCTATTAGGAACAAAAATCGGGATACAAACTTAAAGTTGCCCAAGCAATGGTACGCATGTAGTTCAGTTTACATGTGTACATAATTATACATATGACTACTTACATGTACACATACATGTATTGTAGCAGGCGCTGGCAAAATGTTGGAGCTGAAATGATGCCATACAAAAATGTGCTTTGAGTATATCTCTCCTTAGATGAAGTAGCTGGAAAGATGCCATAGAGAGAATTGTCTACTTAATGTGAAGCATATCAACACATGTGCCTTAAAAATGAAGGGACCAAAACTGTGATGGGTCAAAGTACTCTCTACCTAACGTGCCTGGGAAAATGTCTCGTGTCTTTCAGTCAGCTTTTATTTGGAGCTGAAAAATTGCAGTGCAAAAAGACTTCTAATTTGACGTTAAACTTTTAAGCATATCATGATCAATACATGTGTCGAAAATGGTTGGGACCAGAAAACGTTATGGAACTCAAATGTTGTCTTAACATGTTACTTAGGAAATTGTAGATTTATAAAGAACTTTTTTTCTAATTGCTATGCAATCAACCTTAATTATGGTGTAGACCATTTTAGATAAGAGGGGTGTCAATTATCTCGTATTGGCAACTTTTGCATACTAGTACTCTTTCCGCCCTGACTCCCCCTCAAAATCAGAATGGTCTGCCCCATTTGCAATAAATGCTTAATGCTTTAGATATTATAATCAATTTTTAGATCATCAATATTTCAATAATTTGGTATTTTTAATCAGTGAATATTCCCCTGGAGGGTCAAAGGTCAAGATCATTCCAGTTTCTATTTCACTCAATATCAATTTAACATTTTATTATTTTGTAAATTTTATAAAGTTTTTCAGTCTGGCTAAAAAGATAACCCTTTGAAAGGGAATACTGACAAGTTTTTATTGATCAAGTTATTTGTATTTTACATAATTATATGTATGTATACTATGTAGGTACTATGTAGGTACAAATGTAAGTATATGTTAACTATAGGCTTTCTATATTTTTACACAGGTTTGTCGAAATGTTGCATTTGTATGTGCAGTCTGAATGCAGTATTATGTTAAGAAATGTTTAATGTTGTAAATAAGGTACTTACATGTATGTTTAGTAGCCAATATACTTAATTGTTAGGACACACAATTCATATCAGATTCTTCACTTCTAATTTTAAGGTAAACATTTATGAAGAAGACAATTAAAATGAAACAAAGGGCTGTAAGGAAAACTCAATTTGTCTATATTCACTCCCTGAAACTGTTTGTACCAATTAAAAAGTTACAGACTGTCCCCTCTGACTCTGTTTTCGTGTAACGCTTGATTTTCTTGTTGGCCTTTTTAAAAGCTAAGAAACTATGAATTAGATTGTTGAGGCCTAAACCCCAAAGGTTCACAATCAAGAAAACTTGAAACATTCCTTATGTGAAAAAGTGTACTGGTAACCTCTTTGTGAGCCTCTTGTCATTGGATACAATCTGTTTAATGTAACCTAAGAAGTGCCCCAAAAACCCTTTCATACCTTCCTGTCAGCACGTTAACTCATGATTAACGATCCTGCGCTTAATTACAAAACCTGGAGAAAATCCCGACCTTCAACAGTGGAACACTAAGCCAAGGACACGCCAAGTTCGCTTCCTGGTTTTCGGACATTTTGATACTGAAAATTTTGCAAGAAAAGCAAAAACAAACTTATTATAAGTGTTGTGACCAAAAGCGCTAAACGTTTAAGCCAACACTAAGCTTGAACATTTAGCCATTTTGGTCATAATGAAGTATACCAACACAGATGAACTTTCATGCTAAAACTTCAGTGTTGGAGGAATCTAACTGTTATATTCCCTCTCTGAAACTGTGCGTACCAAGGTACAGACTTCACCTCATTCTCTTTCTCAAATTCAGTTTTATCTTTTTACCCTGAGAACAAAAACAAGGAAATCCTAAAGCCACATCAATTTATTTTTTTTTTTTACATTCTAGATTAAAAACCGTGAAAGATGAACACAAAGGGCTGGGCTGAAAACTTGAATCTTACTGTATTTACTCCCTGAAACTGTGTGAATCAAAGGTACAGACGTTCCCCTCAGACTCTGTTTTTCTGTTAATCTTTCAATTCAGAGAACAAAATCTAAGAAATCCTAAGTCCACACCAATTTATTTCCTTCATTTTGAACATTTTAGAGTAAGAAAATGTGCAAGAAGACAAGACGAAAACAAAGGGTATGGCAGAAAACTCGAATCTGACTACTAGTATGTTCATTCCCTAAAACTGAATGTAAGGTTACTAACTTAGAGGTTTTCCCTCAGAATTCATGTTGATTTTTCAATTCAGCCTTATTAACGCTAACTGTTAGCGTTACTTCCTAAAGTCTTGTGAAACAACAAACTGTTTTTCTTGTAACTCTATCCACGTCTTGAGTGAAAGTAAGATCTCGCCAAGGAGGGGACCTTAAGAGTTTTCCTTCCTGTAACACAATCTTAACTGTTCCTAAGGCAAGGCAAATCCAAGGGCAGACAAGGTCATTCTGCCCCCCTCCCACCCCCAAAGTGGTGACACTTGTGGTGTAACCTGTCATTTCGCATCTGTGTTTCCTTTCATTATAATTGGAGAGTTACTTTTACAGTAAGCTTAGGTGAACCATAAGGTGGTTAAACTTCTTTTCTTTCCTTTTTCTTTTTCCTACTTTCACATACATGTAAAACCTAAGAATTTGCTCTGAAATAAAATGATCCTAACAATACTTGAAACTGGAAAAATGTAGTAAAATGCTCCGCCAAATTGGTGACATTTGCATTACTTACAGAAAGCTTAGTTGAGCCATAACATGGTGAAACTTGTTTTTCTGCTTTTGCTTGTCTTTTCTCTACACATAAAACCTGTATATTATTAGTTTCTCAGAACAAAACATAGTTCTTACATACAGTTGTATCAATAGTAATAGCATCAATTCCTAACCGACATTTGCCCCCAAATTGGTGACATTTACATCATCAATGTTACCTTTCATTGTCCATCTGTAGCTGCTTTTACATTTCCTACTTTTCCATAAAAGCTCAAAGTAACCTTACCTCGGGGTCTGTCCCAGAAACAAGCGGACCATCATCGACATTACCTCTTATTTTGCATTTCAAAGCTGCTCTTAGTTTTCTACTTTTCCATAAAAGCCCAAAGATTTCCCGGGTAACCTTACCCCGGGGTGTGTCCCAGAAACAAGCGACCATCTGGCCCTGTTAATCTACTAGTCAACATCCTCCCCCAAGTTAGTGACATTTGCTTAATTTACAGAAGGCCTAGGTGAGACATCCGCTTTTTCTTCTTGTTTTTTTCTACTTCAAATTTTGCTTCAGAGTCTGTAGTTTTAATGCTATGCTTTTAGTTTTTCCATAAAAGCTCAAAGTAACCTAACCCCTATGTCTGTCCCAGAAACAAGCGGACCATCTGGCCCTGTTAAGTGCAGGGAAGGACAGGAAACGTTTCCGACACAAAAGCCGATGTTTTTCCCCAAACAGACCCAAACCTGTTATCTCGGATTGTTCCCGAATATTTCCATAAAATATCGGGTCTTCCGGGTAACCCGAAACCCCCCTGTTTACACCATGCAGCACCGCCATTAGTTCACTTGACAAGACAATTTGTTAAAAAACTCTGTTAGGCCACTCCAATTTATTTCTTTGTTCTCGTACATTTAAGATGTAAAGTCAAAGTCAGGAGAAATTTATTAGCATGTGGCAAACTATCAAAAGTCCACAGCTAATTTTCACAGCACATTCATTCAACATTAGTTCACTTGAAAAGACAATTTGTTAAAAACTCTGTTTGGCCACTCTAATTTAGGTCTTTGTTCTCATACATTTTGAGTCGAAATTTTGGTCAAGAGAACTGTAAGTTAACATATTTTAGCATGTGGTAAACGTTCAAAAGTCTGAACCACAGATAATTTTCACAGCACATTCATTCAACATTAGTTCACTTGACAAGACAATTTGTTAAAAACTCTGTTAGGCCACTCCAATTTACTTCTTTGTTCGCGTATCTTTTAGAGTCCAAAATTTAAAGCCAAAGTCAAAAGAGCTATTTTTAATTTAGCATGTGGCAAACTATCAAAAGTCTGATCGAACCACAGCTAATTTTCACAGCACATTCATTCAACATTAGTTCACTTGACAAGATAATTTGTTAAAAACTCGGCCACTCGAAATTACTTCTTTGTTCTCGTACATTTTAGAGTCAAAATTTGATTTTAAGTAAAAGTCATGAGAACTTACTATATTACTTATTAGCATGTGGCAAACTACCAAAAGTTTGAGCCACATGTATTTACACAGCACATTAATTCAACAAATTCATTATTTTAAAAAGAAATGATTTTAAAATCTGAGAAATCAGCTTACAAACGCAAGACAACAAGGACTGGGTAAACACACATGTGAAACCTTTTCTGAGGCTCTGTTTCAGTTAAGCATTGCCATTACTTTTTTTTAAAGCTGAGAATGAGCAAATTAAATTTGAGTATCCTAAGTCAAGTTATCGATGAAAGCACTGTATTTCTTAGTTGTAAAAGTCTTATGAAAGTGAAAATATAGCAAGCAGATATCATAAAAGCAGAGGGCTGGGAGAAAAACTTATGACAGAGTATTCACTCCTTAA